AGGACCAACAGGAGATAGAACCCATGTGACAACTCAAGTGATGGGCACTCAAGGCTACGCAGCACCTGAATACATAGCAACAGGCAGGTTAACTTCCAAGAGCGATGTCTATAGCTTTGGAGTAGTGCTGCTAGAACTACTCTCGGGACGTCCCACGGTAGATAAATCGAAAGTAGGAGTGGAACAGAATCTTGTGGACTGGGCAATACCTTATTTGGTGGATAGGAGAAAAGTGTTTAGAATAATGGACACAAAGCTTGGAGGGCGGTACCCTCACAGAGAGGCTTGTGCAGCAGCCAACGTTGCATTGCGGTGTCTTAACACAGAAGCTAAGTTGAGACCGGAGATGTCTGATGTCTTGTCTACTTTACAACAGCTTGAAACTTTGACCAAAACGAGCATTACTCCAACAGCAATCATGTCTCCTTCATCTGTGTCAGAGAATCGTGGGAGATCTCTGCGTTCAAGGTGAGAAAGGAGATTTACCGACCCTTTTTTGAGTCTGTATATATATATATTTATATTTATATCGATATTTTTGCAAAGTGTGGTGGACAATGTTGTTGCTTCTCTCGAGATCATAGGTTTTCTGGTGAAAATGTAGAGACGTGTATATATATGTAAATGAAACGTAGGTTTTCTAGTTGATATTAAGATTTGTATGACCGATGTAACGTTTATGAAATACTTGAGTTTACAATACATAGCAGATATATGCTTAACGGTGGAAATGCAAAGTATCAAATGAGTTTTCTGTTTTATAAGTTACATAAAGAGATTAATAAGCGCAGATGATTAATGATTTGTAATCCTTTTAACAGGAAGTTTTTGGGGACAAACCAGTTTGTATAGCTACTAAAAGCTGTCCCTCCTTTTTTAAATCTCCTTATCATTAGTATTCACATCATCAAACCAAAAAGGTGTTCTAGAGATTAAGTGTGACGGCACTCCGGACTAGATGTAGTCTTATGGAAATTTATCTACAGTGATTGAAAATAAGACTTGTTTGATTTTGTATGGATAGTGCGAAACTTAGACATTTTAAGATTATAAGCATTCATTATATGATTTGTGTAAACTAGTATAGGTAAGCCTAGAGTCTTAACCGCTCAATTGGTACTAGAAAACAACTTATAAGGACTAATTAATAAAAGAAAAGCGTAAACAATACCTTATAAGGATAACTAGGTGTTTTGCCCGCACTTGCGGGCATTATTCTCTTTATGAATATTTATTAGTTGATGTTTCATTAATTTAAAAATTAGCATAATAAGTTATTATTTATGTTTTCAAAAAGTAAAATTCAATCATCAAATAATTATCAATGACAAAACTCAAACATTAGAAATATTTAAAAGAATATATTTTTATAACTATTTTTATTGATTTATATTTAATTATAATATTTATATCTTAATTTTAAATTTTATATCAGAAAAACATATTTTCAAGATAACAATATAATGCATAAATTATTTATTTTCTGAAAATATAATATGATAATTTTTTAACTATATAATAATTATATAAGATTATAGAAATTATGACATATAGTTAAAATTACCTAAAATCATTGAGAACTTAATGAATCAGCAAGTTCACTTCTTAAATAATTTTCTTGAGTGTTGATTTATATTTAATTAAGAATTGATAACTGATAATTTTGTATTTTACTTTTAAATTGTATAATGTAAAAATATATTTTCAGGATAACAACATAATACATAAGAATTACCATATTCTGTAAAAGTATAATATTATTAATGTAAATTTATTTCAATTATAGAATAACTACAACTTTTTATATCTTAATTTTAAATTTCTAATAGAAAATATTTATTTTCAAGACAACAACTTAATACATAAGAAGTATTTTATTTTCTAAGAATCTGATACTATTACTAAAATTTTTTTTAAATATATAATAAATTATATATAAAATTATATAAATTGATAAATTATCAAAATTACCTAAAACCATGGAAAATATGAAAAATCAGCAAATATTAAATTCCCTTCTTAAATAATATTATAGATTTTTTACATGTTAATTTTAAATTTTATAATAGAAAAATATTTTTTCAGGTAACAGCATAATACATAAGAATTAACTTATTTTCTAAGATATCATATTATTAATATAAGTTAGTTTTAATTATATAATCAGTAATAAACAAAATTATAGAAATTCTCATAAAAGATCAAAATTACCTAGAATCATGAAGACAAATAAAAAAAGTAAATTTTCAAATAATTTTTTTGATGATTTATATTTAATTATTAATAATACAATTTTTATATCTTTCTTTTAAGTTTTATAATAGAAAAATATATTTTCAACATAACAGCATAATCCATAATGATTATCTTAGTTTAGAAAAATATTAAATTATTAATATAAATTCGTTTTAATTATAATTAAATATTAAATTATTAATATAACTTCATTTTAGATAAATATAATAGTGTTTATATCTTAATTTAAAATTTAAGTTTTATATATAAAAATATATTTCAAGATAACAAGATAATTCACAAGAATTATCTTATTTACTAAAAATATGGTATATTCATATAGATTTGTTTTCTTTATTTATAAAATATATATAAATATTAAAAATATGATAAATAAACAAAATTACCTAAAATCATGGAGAAGTTGACAACTACGCAAATTTACTTCTCAAATAATGTTATAGATAGAAGATTTATTGTGCTCTACCAATACCTTATAAATAAGTAAGTAAGAAGATTGATCAAATAGTGTATTTCCAACCAAACTAATCTATTGAACTGAAAGTACCAAATGAGTCCAGGAGTTCCCCCAAACACTTCAGTGGAATACATTTTGATTGAAAGTAAAATGATATCTCCAATGAAGTGCTCAGAGGAACTCTAGGAAACATCTGACCAAGATATTTGTTTTCTTCTCTATGTATATTTTGGTGGCAGGTAAGTTTGGTTTACAAGAGTATTATGGTTTGAAAAGTTTGGAGGGATTGACGTCTATATATATAGAGCTGGAGGCATTGTGAACTTAGACGTGAATTCAGGTTTAAGGGATTTAGGTGAAGGAATCAAATATTTCAAGAAAAAAGGTCATATAATCTTTCTATCTTTCATCAGCTTTTTGCAAGATAAAAGGTTCACACTATACACGCATATATGCCAATAAACGTACATGTACAACTCAATACATGCAAATGTACACATGAATGCTTTGCTTCTGTTGTGCTCATATGTACTGCTGCTCCAGTTTTAGGATACATTATCAGGGCGGACATAAGAAGATTAGTATTAGAACGGAGTTTTTTTTAAACCAAATTCGACATTATGTTGAAAATTCAACCTTTATTTATGAACTTTCTCTTCTGTATATATGTCTTTATTGTCTGTAAATTTGTAGATATTTTTAACTTATTGCAGTCCCTTGACTCCCTTGATAGCTTATGCACACTATCTGACTGAAAAGTGAAAACATATCATTGAATCTGAAAGTATGAAGGGGAAAAAAAATTGGCTTGGATTTTGTATTGAGAAGAAGCGTTGTAATTTGAGACAAGGAAAAAAATCTCTTAAAAGCCCAAGGTATTTTCAGGCCCATCAGTGCCCAATAAGAGTTGTAAATCGAGTTGTCTTTTTGGTCCTACGCTTGAACACTCCCACATCGGCTAACTGGAACTAGTTGCAGCAGAAGTTACATGGTAAATAGAGGTCTCACTAAGGTGTGGTGGTAACTGGATAGGTGATCTGTGTCGGAGAAGGTTGAGAGAGAGAGAGAGAGAGGATGAGTGGGAAAGATGCGGCGAAGAGGGGCAAAATAGCGGTGTGGTGGGACATGAAGGACTGTCCGGTTCCAGAAGGTATTGATGCTCATCGTGTTCGTCGGAGCATAGAAGGTGGTTTCAGGGAACTAGGCTACTCTGGTCCTGTCTCCATCAGAGCCTATGGAGACCACAAACAAACCTCTGAACACCAGCTACGAGCTCTCTCTTCCACTGGAGTCGCGGTGGTACATATTGTTGGATCAAAATATAAAATATAAAAGCCCAATGACTTTTATATCAAAATGTGAAAAGAAATGGATGGGCTACACAAGCCCAAGAGAGCTAAAATGTCAACTTGACATTTTGTCCCACATCGGGGAGAAGAGGAAGAAATGAGCAATATATATATGCTCACTCATCTAAGCTTAATAAACAGCTTGGAGAGAGTAAAGGTGCTCCACGCGCGCGCCGCCGCCGTCCAGCGGGCTCGGGCTCGGGCTCGGGCTCGGGCTCGGGCTCGGGCTCGGGCTCGGGCTCGGGCTCGGGCTCGGGCTCGGGCTCGGGCTCGGGCTCGGGCTCGGGCTCGGGCTCGGGCTCGGGCTCGGGCTTTTATTGGAGGGCCTCTGGCCCGATAAGAAGTTATCTTTTTGGGCCAAGTTAAGCTCAACGTTTTGCCATTTCATTTCTAAAAAACAGCATGACATTTGTGTATAAACGACGTGTAGTTCGTTTAAAAACGGCACGACATTTATCTGTTCGAAATGGTTGAGAACGAGTCAACTAAGAGAGAAACTTGTGGAGAAAGTTGTTGAGATTTCCGGAAAACGTTTGTAACAGTTTCGAAAACCGCTCCTCATCTCCTCTTTAAATATGGTCTCTCCTCCCCATTCATTCATCATTTTTTTAAATCGCTTCACACAGAAAAAATCCAGCAATCTCTCAACGTAAGTCTAAAGAGAGTGTTCGTAGAATTTTTAGTTCGTTAGGTCGTTTCACGAGTGTAGCGTGATTCGTCTGCCATGGTTGTATGATACAACTTGTATCCTGGGACTCTATATTCGTACAGTTTCGTCTCACTACGGAGCGAATATTAAGAGTTAAGGAAAGAGATTTATCTCGCCTCCGTGTTTCATATAATCGTTTCTTTCCTTAACTCCGTCTTTCTTATATCGTCTATGTCGATCCGGTTTTCCGGCTTCTACACATATCAGATCTGAAAGCACGTGCGCAGTCATGTATATGGATATGGTGAAATGGCGAGAGGATAATCCTCCTCCGGCGACAATGATGATCATAACCAATCAGATGCTAGATGTTTTCAACTGGGATCTGTCTCGGCTACAACAACGCACGAGTTACCACCTTTTTCTGGCTTCTTCAGCCAGACCTCGCGCAGCATTGACCGTGGGCAGTCGCAAAGAGTGGCTTTGGGAAAAATTACTACTTGGCACGACGGCGGATGATGCCGTGTTTCATTGCAAAACGTGCTCTTTGGATTGCCTAAGCCTTGAGAGTTTCAAGAAGCATCTCTCCACTAAAAACCATGCACTAGAAGAGGTTTTACGCCCTCAGCCTAAACAACTCATTTCTGTAACGAGCAAGTGGGGAAAAAACTATGCTGCGACGCCTGAGTATGCGGCAGCTAAAATCCACGTGTGGTGGGACATGTTTTGCTGTCCTATTCCTGACGGTTATGACGCTCGTAGGGTCCGTCCCAGTTTGGAAGGAGCGTTCAAGGAACTAGGCTACTCTGGTGATCATGTCTCCATCACTGCCTATGGTGACCATAAACAAACCCCCGAATGCCACCTTCAAGCCCTCTCTTCCACTGGAATCGATGTTGCACATGTCATTCCTGAAGTCATATACTCGCGCATGTCTCGTGATTGGAAGACATGGCAAGATGACAATCCTGCTCCGGCTACAATGATGTTCATATCTGATGACGCTGAATACTTCTTTGGAGATACTCTTGTCTGGCGACAACAAAACAATAAGTACAACCTGTTTCGGGCTTATTCTTTTAGGCCTCTGAAAATGTCAGTCCTGCTCACTTCTGCCGAGTGGCTCTGGGATAGCTTACTTGCAGGTGCTTTTTTTACCTCTCTTCTATCCATTTTCATATATATATATATATATAACCACCAAACTAATCTCTTAAAGCTATTAGTTTCGGAGACAAAAAAACATGTTCTTCGGAAGTGCAGTGGAAGTAGTATTGAAAGGGTTGGTGAATCTACCGGAATGTTTTATTGCAAAGTGTGCTTCACTAAGCGCAAACTCCTGGATAAATTCATGAAACATCTCTGGACTTTCAATCATATCTCTGAAGTAAGCATCCTCTCTCTCTCTCTCTTTTTTTTGTTATCAATACATTTGTCTAACCATTTTAGGGAAAAGCAGGAGGTTGATATTTCTGAACTCGGTCAACGTAACAAGAACCAGAGACTGCTATACCTCGAGGCAAGTGTTTTTCTTAATGATAAGTTTCTAACAGATTTTACAACAGAGACACCAACACTTTTTTTTTTTTTCATTTTGTAGGAAGCTCATTTCCCAGAGAGCAAGCGGTTGAAGAAAGCTGCCCAGTAGAGTTTGTGACTGAAGAAGTGATCAGAGTCTAATCCTATGAACCTATCTTTATTTTTCTTGTTCTGGTCTTATGTTTCTGCTTGAAGTACTTTAGTTACTTTTCCGACTTACTTTTTTCTAGCTTGTTTATTTCACCAAACAATATAAGTTTAATCGTGTTTCTAGCTGTTTAGTACTGTATGTGTATTTGCAATGGGTCTAACGGTTATTATTTGAGTTTTTCTTTACGATGCTAAAAAAAAAAAATAGAGGTCTCACTCTTGCTCTGAAAACAAAGCGAACTATTCTTTCGCCTTTTACTAAAGAATACCGTGTGCTCTCCTCGCTTAAGTGGCATACGCTTATTTTTGGAGGGTCCTACTTTCGAGTGGGCCCAACAACAGTTAGTTCAAAATTTGAAATGTTAGTCTGGTTCGAGGTTTGTAAATCATAAACCGGTTACAGCTACAATCCTTCGGATGAATTCACTACTGGTTGGGACAATGTAATTTAACTTTCCATCTACTGTCTGCAAACCGTATGAAAAAGTGATAACTAAGTTAGTGAAGATAATATGCAAAAGGTTTAGTATTATTACTCAGATTCCATATCAAATTATTGGTCATGATTAAATGTTGTATACTTTTTTTTTGTTAAGAGACGAGAAAGGAACCATTGTCTTTCTTCCTTTTCTTATCGAGACTGATTTGGGGAAAACCATTTTGGTAGATGTCAACTTCAGAATTTGAGAAATGAAATTTACACAAGTGTCAAAATTATTTTGGTATTCGTACATATAATATATTTTATTTTATGATACAAAACAGAAAATTGAGATGTTTACATTGGTTTTTGTAACTCCGTTGAAATATTTCAAACACCAACATATAAAAAGAGAGTAAAATAAGATCTACCACACGAAAGATACTACGAAGAATGTGCTTCTGTAGTATACTGATAGAGATGTTATATGCTCTGACCTCCTTATTCCCCAAAATACGACTTGGTTCATCTTCAAATTTCACGCATGTTTTTATATATAATGGAGAGAATATATCATCTATGCATGGTCCCTCCCTAATAATTCCATTGCAAGAAGGGAGAGAACATACCATGTAGAGGTATATAAATATGCATTTTGTGTTGTCACTAGTGTCATTGAATAAGAGAAGAAGTATTACCAAAAGAGATAATATGAAGCGTCAAATGTCCCCTTGAGTTCCCTGAAACGCTTCATTGTTCATTACGTAGATGTTTGCAAAGAAATCAATCTAATGAACACTGAAGTGTTTGGGGGGACTCTAGGTGGTATATTGACACCGAAAGGTTTAATGAATTCGAGCGATTTTCCAACGATTCAGGTGAGTTATCTATGTATTCAATCTTAACGTCGAATAAACAACTTGTATTTCTGAGTCCATTTTGCCATTGAAGCAACTAATTAATGTAATCAAATTAAACTTGTTTATTTTCCTTCCCTTTGATACGATGGAACTTGGACTATACTAGGACGACGAATCTATATGTTGAGTTTTTAGACTTGTCTCCCTTGCCAGTGTAGATGTAAATACTGTATGTAGAGCTTTCCATACTTTACAGATAAGCAAGATATTTAAGTGGAGCCCAAGAAAGTATCTTTTCCACCAACTCCCACAGAAGCGTCTCCAAAACTAGTTTTTTTTTCTTCTGGATAATGGAAAAGGATTTAAAGGAATGTGATTTAGATTTTCGAAATCAAGGGAGAGGTCATGTATGGTAGGGGTTATAGTTGATAAACTAATTAAGTACATTGCATTTATGGACCGTTTAACATGGCATTACTGTAATAATTACTTAAAGCTAATTTGGTTGTATGATTTGTATCATAGTTTATTGCTTAAGATACTTGGAACACCATGTATGAAACTTACTAGTTCCACGTAAATTGAACAATGTTTGATAACGTAAGTTGATTTGAGATCATGTATAAGTTTCGGGTGGAATTGATCCAATTGTTAGTATATTTTCTGTCAAAGCTGTCTCTGACTTGGAAATTATAAAAGAAAATTGTACAAATATTTCTGCTCTGTCGTACTTTCCAAGCAACCCTCCATTCGGTTTGGCGAGAACGTAATGGAAGGAGACATATTGAAACATCTCAGACATGGCGATAGTTGCAACTTGCAACGCTACATTGGCAAACTTGTGAGAAATAGAATCTCTAAAATCAAGATGATGGGAAGAAAGGGATTTGATGATGCTATGGGAAGATGGTTTCCTTGAAAATGAAAAGTAACCTTTCTCTTAAAGTTTTATCTTTTTAATCAAACTTTAAGTTAAGATGCATTCTTTGTAAAAAAGTTTTTTGAGTTGAATATATTTCACATTCATTCAAGGAATTGTCTAACTTCTTTGGAATTATTTTTAAAAAATTCTGTGATATAATACATCATGTAATATGAAAGCTCATTTTTTAAATCAAATACATTAATTTCCTCTTCCATTCGGCACACCACTAAGGTCAATATCACATCATGTGCCTCCATACAAATGTATAATCTCCAAAAATAGAAGAAAACAATAACTGCGAAATCGAGAAAGGCAGTTATAACGCATGCGTCCGTGTGTGAGTTACAAATGAAGATATCGCCAGCAACTTGTTCCCAAAAGGTTATTCTTATTGTTTTATTAGGTTCAAAAGATTGACCAGGTTCATCTTCCGTATTATAAAACTATTGCACGTTTTGATAAGAATCTAAATTTGGCGGTCCATGTGGTGGCTATTGGATATACGGATAAGTAAGAAAGGCAAGAGTCACATGTCCCTTTGCACTTCAATATAACATTGTGACCTTTTCGTCAATTAGAAAGAAGATTCCACGAAAAAAAAATTCAACAACTTATCATTCAGAACACATATAAAATCTTCATATCTTTAGAGCTGTTCTACAGCTTGGAAGGTTTAGTTATGTTTCTATAAGATGATAGTGCGGAGATCTAACCATTGATAAGATGTTTTCAGGTTCTCGGAATTTCTTAACATTTTACCTTATTGATTTTGAATAAAGTACTGTATTACGTACATAATAGGGAAAATCCCACATATAATATAACATTGGCATTTAAGTGAGGATGTGTTTTTTATGACATTAGTAATAGTAAAACCAGAGCCGGTCTTAGAAATCTGTGGACTAGAAGTCAAAAAAAATTATGTGGCTGAGTAGACTCGAAATCATGATCTAATCAAGCTAGTAAAGGGACATTTACCAAGTAGGTTAAAGGAAGTTCTGGGATAAAATCGGCCGAATTTGTACTTAATATTTGGAGGCCGGAAGCATGTGTTTGATCTGCTTATGTTCAAGACCGGCTTTGAGTAAAACAGTTTTGTTTAGAGTCTTTAAAAAGTCTTTAAAAAGTAAAAAAAAAATTTCATATACAACAATAAAAGGTATGCGTTTAATGCTTTTTACAAGATAGATTTCCATTTTTTATTTGCTTTTATCAGCTTTGTTTTTAGAAGAAGTAGTTTTGGTGAAAATCCAGATAATTTATAGGAAACTCATTGATAATATGACGACTCTGAATCTGGAGGAAGACATGGAGGAAGACGCAACGGTTCAAACAAACAATATTAGTGATTGTTAATTATAATCTGATCATGGGCCACTGGTAAGGACGAACTCCTTTCTGTACCAGGTTACGAGTTCGAATATTGTTAGATGAAATTATCTCACAATATCGATCTCTGGATATTACATAGGTAAGAGTCTTTGTTTTTGGCTCATTTTATAAGTCCGATGCGCCTGTGGGTCACACGTCCTCAGAATAAAGGATAAAATCTTAGACATAATTGCATACTTCGGTTTTATGGATTTTGTATAGTTTTTTTTTTTTTTTTTCGGCTGCCCATCTAAAAAACTAGATCAAGTGGTGAACAGACAAGTCGATCCTCCGAGGAGCACCTCTGTCTGGCCTGGTCTGATCTATATGGGAAAATGTAAATCCTTTTCTCCTTGCATCTTTAGCTAATGTATCAGCTCGACCATTCCTACTCCGAGGAATATGAGCCAGACTCACATTCTCGAAGTCTTCCTGTAGTCTCTGGAGCATCTCGTTCTCTGTCGCGAAAGCCGGCCAGTCCTCCGGGTTAGTATAGCTATTTATACTCCCTAATGTTGTAGTGTTTCTTATCAAATAAAATTCACAATAAAAAAGGGTTTTAGAGATGTGTTGCCACACTTGGGACTAGAAGAAGTCTCATGAAAAAGCTCAGCTGAGTCTTAAAAATAAGAGTTGTTTGATGTTCTATCGATAGTGAGGAACTTAAGATTATAACTATTCACCGTCGTGGTCTACTTAAGCTAGTTTAGAATCCTATAAGTCATAACCTCTCAATCAGTGATGTAAGGATTCATTTCCCAAGCGGTCAGTTGGCTTCAAACCATTAATCAGTGATCGTAAGCTATAAGTGCATATATTTTCATAGGTCACATGCTATGCCCGCAGAAGAAACTATTTGGATGCAGACAAACAAGTCAAGTGATCCTTCCATTATTTGATCAAGCTAATTTCTTGTCACTTCTTTTAAATACAAACTAGCTTTCGTTTTTTTTTTTTTTTTTTTTTTTTTTTTTTTTTTTTTTTTT